CTCCAGGCTGTGATGGCTGTGCCTTCTCAGGGCTCCAAGCTGTGATGGCTGTGCCTTCTCAGGGCTCCAAGCTGTGATGGCTGTGCCTTCTCAGGGCTCCAGGCTGTGATATTGCCTTCTCAGGGCTCCAGGCTGTGATGGCTGTGCCTTCTCAGGGCTCCAGGCTGTGATGGCTGTGCCTTCCCAGGGCTCCAGGCTGTGATAGCTGTGCCTTCTCAGGGCTCCAGGCTGTGATGGCTGTGCCTTCTCAGGGCTCCAGGCTGTGATGGCTGTGCCTTCTCAGGGTTCCAGGCTGTGATGGCTGTGCCTTCTCAGGGATCCAGGCTGTGATGGCTGTGCCTTCCCAGGGCTCCAGGCTGTGATGGCTGTGCCTTCTCAGGGCTCCAGGCTGTGATGGCTGTGCCTTCTCAGGGCTCCAGGCTGTGATAGCTGTGCCTTCTCAGGGCTCCAGGCTGTGATGGCTGTGCCTTCTCAGGGCTCCAGGCTGTGATGGCTGTGCCTTCTCAGGGTTCCAGGCTGTGATGGCTGTGCCTTCTCAGGGTTCCAGGCTGTGATGGCTGTGCCTTCTCAGGGCTCCAGGCTGTGATGGCTGTGCCTTCTCAGGGATCCAGGCTGTGATGGCTGTGCCTTCTCAGGGCTCCAGGCTGTGATGGCTGTGCCTTCTCAGGGATCCAGGCTGTGATGGCTGTGCCTTCTCAGGGCTTTACACCAATGATCTAAGTGTCGGCGAAATTAGTCGTAATAAAATACTTAGAAAAGTTTAATATATATATAAATAAATATACGAGAACAGATGTACCGTCTGCCACATTTATACTAGCTTCTATATATATCTCACTCACTAACAGTAATGTTTAAGAAATCATTAAAAGATAAGGTCATTTATATTTTGCCACCGACGTGGCTAGTTTAGTGGGCATCCCATATCCATCATGTGGATGGTAGCGCAAGAGTATAAGGATACACAATGTGTATCCTTCCAGTTATATAAATGTTGAAAATGGTCAGGCTGAGGGACTGACCACCACAAATACTATTTGTCCAAGGTTGATGCACTGATTACATCATCATTTCATTACTATACCTGCTACCTCTGTATTTGACTGAAGAAACCTACTGTGTAGGCGACGCATTCAAACATGAACTTTTTGAAGTGCTGAACGAGTCCATAACTTGGAACAATTGAAAGAAACTGCGAGGCAGAAGAGGCAACACGAACGTATGGAACCGTACTTTTGCAGATAGAATTCTAGCAAACTGGAATAAAGTATCTACTAATGATTTAAGTTGGAAGACAATAAAGTCATTCAAGAACCAGCTGGACAGGTATTCTGCAAATATATAACTCCAGATACACCTAGTGAGTGGCACTGTTTGAGCCTTCAGAACCACACGGTCAGTGTACATCTATCACGCATGACTGTTGAACCACACGGTCAGTGTACATCTATCACGCATGACTGTTGGGTCACCCTAAATTGTTTTACACATCAGAAAAGGTGATAAGTTACAGTGACCTGTAAGATAGAGGGTATGGTGAGAAGGAAATTGGCACTTCACTAAACTCATGTGGACATGATAAAGTGAAGAGATTCCTGAAGCATGTTAAGCTACTGCATCAGGACGATCAGTTGACAACGAGGCAACCAACTCAGTATTAATACTAGTGGTAGAAGTAGAGAGTTGTGACAGTCGTAACAGAACTGATGGTAACCTGAAGTAGAACCACTGGTACACAACTCGGAGTGACAGTGGAGTAACAAGACTAGTTTCAGATAGTAACATGTAATAACAATGGAAGTAGTTGTAGATCAGGTCTTCCATCTGGTTCCGTCTCTCCTGTAAGTTACCATGTCATTCTTCCAGTATGGTGTATGGTATTCAGTAAGACTACACGAAACAGCTGATAACTTAATGTATAATGTAGCTACAGTGAAAAGTTGTAATATTTCAAGATAGTTCGTGATTCATCACATTATCAAAAACCAAAACCAATAAAATAGTCTTATAAAACAGAGATATGACCTTACATGTGACCTTACATGTGTTCTTACATGTGACCTTACTGAGCGTGGGAGATATCCATTTTTCAGATGTCAGGTAAAATTCAAAAGGTATAGTATATATTCCCCTTCCCCCCCCCTACCCACCCATGTATTCATGCCAGCAGTGGCTGCAGGGAATGGAGGGTGGGAACAGAGTCCTGGTTTTTTTTATCCTTGACCTTAGATAATTCACAGTAGTCTTTAATATAGGTAAAAGTAGATAGTTCTCCAGAGAGCCAGACGCTCTGCTGTCTTACCCAGGTGTTATTTCTCCTCACTTGCTAATCTCAATAGCCATTAAATGTATTATTGATTCCGGGGATAATCTACGTCACGGCGCAGTCTCCCACCAGACCTCCTACGTAGGTGGGAAAGGAAATGTTGTAGGGTTATAAAAAAAAGTATTAAAAGTGAATTTGAAAGTAGTCTTGTGTAAATTGAATGTCTGCAGAAGTCTGTATACATACACGAGTTCATGAGACAGACGGAACATATCAAGAGTCCTGTCAGAGATGAAAAAAGACCAGGTGTCCACTTCACACTCATTTAACAGAGAGGTTATGCTTCCCTGGATGGTCGCCCTCTACCACCCTACTGCTACTATCTGTGTTACCACTACTGGAGGCGACTGCCATGCTAGATTTATTATGTTACTTCTGACCGGTTACTTAGATATAGCCAGGCTCTACAGATATAGCCAGGCTCTACAGATATAGCCAGGCTCTACAATATTGCTGGCTGTTTAGACATAGGCTCTATAGTTTGGGTCTCGAGATGCGTAGAGTTAAATTAACATAAATCTTCGAAGCCTTGTTCCAGAATGTTGTGGTGGTGGAAAAATGATTGATATCAGGTTAGGTTTCAACTCTATCGACTGTAAGTAGGTCATTAATGTCGCTTTTCACCTGAATAATAAAAATGGTTAAATACATGCAGTTTAAATAAGATTATAGTAAATATTTGTGTAAGTATACTGACTTACACATATCTCAATGTATATACAGTGATATATACACGTTTGTGTATATACACTGATAGATACCTCTCAGTGTATAAGCATTGGCACATACACACTCAGTGTATATACACACATCTCAGTTTATACACACCTCATTGTATATACATAGATACAAATCATTGTATATACACTGACAGCTATACACCTCTGTGTATATCATTATTTTACACGATTTTCGTACGCTATTCGAAGCGTCAGTTTTCTGAACGTTCCCATTAAAATCAGATTTAACCGCAAATAAGCAAATAAATGGTCGGGACACGTCTGGCAGCGTGGTGTCTGAACAACTTCAGATACCGTTCACATCTCTACGCATATCACATTACATCATGTATAACGACCTGGCTTTAAATATACCCTCTGACGTGAGCGTCTTGCTGGCTGAGTATATTAACTGATACCACAACACGCACACCTTCGCTGTGGAGTGTGAGCAGGGTAATATTTAGTGAAGGGATTCAGGGAAACCGGTTATTTTCATATAGTCGGACTTGAGTCCTGGAAATGGGAAGTACAATGCCTGCACTTTAAAGGAGGGGTTTGGGATATTGGCAGTTTGGAGGGATATGTTGTGTATCTTTATGTGTATGCTTCTAGACTGTTGTATTCTGAGCACCTCTGCAAAAACAGTGATAATGTGCGAGTGTGGTGAAAGTGTTGAATGATGAAAGTATTTTCTTTTTGGGAATTTTCTTTCTTTTTTGGGTCACCCTGCCTCGGTGGGAGACGGCCGACTTGTTGAAAAAAAAAAAAAAAATATATATATATATATATATAATATATATATATATATATATATATATATATATATATATATATATATATATATATATATATATATATATATATATATATTATATATAAAGGAAGGGTTGGTAATAACTAAGAAGATGGGGGGGGGGGGTATTTAAAAATGGCTAGCAAGTACTCTTACGAGCGATGTCTTATTGTAAGTCTTGCTACGATGGATATTAGTGCACCTAGTTGTGGTTGCAGGGGTCGATTCACAGCTCTTGGCCCCGCCTCTTCGCTGGTCGCAACTAGGTCCACTCTCTCCCTGCTCCTGGAACTTTATCGTTTCTCTTCTTAAAGCTGTGTGTGTGGATCCTGCCTCCACTACATCACTCTCCTAACATCTGGAAAAGACCCGAGCCGGGACAAGACCGGCAAACCTACGACAACAACAATCTCTTGACAACTCTGTGACTGAAGAAATACTTCCTGACATCCCTAGGACTCATCTGAGTTTTCGACTTCCAGCATTGACCCCTTGTTGTGTGTGTGTGTGTGTGTGTGTGTGTGTGTGTGTGTGTGTGATATAGCGTCCACTGGTTACATCATTCAGTCTGTCAGGTTGAACGATAATTTAGTTGAAGGTTCACCTTCATTACTCGACTCTTATAACTTGTTCATTATTGTTGTATATGTTGAGAGTGCTTGAGTGCTGCTCCACAACAGCAACCTCAGCTGTATGCTGCGAAGTGTCCCGTAGCTCAAGTGGTAGCGCACTCTGCTCACACATTGAGGTCAGTGGTTCGATCCCCGGTACGGGTGGAAACATTAGGGCGTGTTTCCCTAAGACACTTGCTGTCCCTGTTCACCTAGCAGCAAGTAGGTACTTGGGTGTTAGGCGACTGTTGTAGGTGGCATCCTGGGGACAAAATTAACCTAAGTTGCGGGAAATGCTCTGCATAACCAGGAGCTTTCTATATAATAAGTCATTTATGGCAGCTGTGGTCTGTATAAGTTATTATTATTATTATTAATTATTATTAATTATTATTATTAATTTATTATTATTATTATTATTATTACTACAAGGCAAGTCAATGCCCACCTCCAGATAACCTTTCTGGATGTGTTTTTATCTGGGCAGCTTTGATAATGAGCAGCCAATAGCAGCGCTTCTTACAGTAGGAGATAAGCCTCCATCCGTCGGTCCCCTGGCGGCTCCTGCCTCAGTTACTTACCTTAGTTACCCACGTGTAGACCTCTGCACCCACCTACTTGTGTGTCCTTCGGTCGAGTCACAGCCCCTGGCGGGGGCGTCTTGTATCCTAATCGATTCATGGCATCAGGACCTGATCATACCTACTCCTGAAACTATGTATAGTGGTTTGCGTCCGCGTGTTCGTGCATTTATGAACACTTCTGTGTACTTGTGAGCGCAACACGTATACTTGAAAGCATACTTGCATAGCGTGTATTCATGAATACGCAATGTATATTCTTGAGAATATAATGAACTGTGAACAGTTATGTCTGTGCAACGAAAACAATAAGTGTAAATAGTGAACGTTGAACACGAGTGACAAGACTGACACACACCGTGAACACTGAATATTGAAGGGGCCGGTGGTTCTTGGCCCTTTGCAATATTTTGAACTATGAACATTTGTGTTCTTTGAATAACAGTGAGGTTCCGAACATTGTGAATAGTGGCCAACGCGAGTGAACATTTGTGAACATTTATCATTAATGACATCGAAGAATGACAGTGTACTATGAACAGAGGTGAATGGTTTTGATCACTGGTGAACACTGAACAAACAGCAAGTATGAACACTGAACAGGCAATGAAAACTGATCAGTAATGAACAACTTTCGGAAACCAAATAATTTTGAGCAGTAGAACAATGAATAGTGAACAGTGAAATTTAAGAGAAAATTTCTTGTGAACATTGAACAACACTTAAGAATTGAACACCATATCTAAGTACTGAGCACCAAATATGTGTAAGGAACACCACATGCAAATATTGAACACCGTATATTGGTATTAAACACCATATATAAGCATTAAACACCATATATAAGCATTAAACATAAGAACATAAGAACATAAGAACATAAGAACGAAGGAACACTGCAGAAGGCCTACTGGCCCATGCGAGGCAGGTCCAAGTCCCTACCGGCTTAAGCCAATGCACCCAACCTAGTCAGGTCAGGTCACATTGACTCAAGGGAGGAACACGGCAACCGACCCGTTAGCACAAGCTATCAGGTCTAACTCACACCCACCCACATCTACTCATGTATTTATCCAACCTATTTTTAAAGCTACACAACGTTCTGGCCTCTATAACGGTACTTGGGAGTTTGTTCCACTCATCCACAACTCTATTACCAAACCAGTACTTTCCTATATCCCTCCTGAATCTGAATTTTTCCAACTTAAAACCATTGCTGCGAGTCCTGTCTAGGCTAGATATTATCAGCACACTATTTACATCCCCTTTATTTATTCCTGTCTTCCACTTATAAACCTCAATCAAGTATTGAACACTAATGAACTTTTCCCAAGAGCACAAAATTTGAGTTTGAACAAATTGAACAACTGTGGTTGTCTTGTTAGGTTCAGTGTTACACGTTTTGAACGAGATCTTTCAAAGGTAAAGTCAGATAATTGACTGGTATTAATCTAAATGGTAGTATGACATCTAGCTAGTATTGTCATGCTCCCCGATTTGTACTTCTAGATTTGTACTGATTTGTGCTAATTCGTTGGCTGCAGGGAAAATGTCTCGTCGTTTTTATGGGATCTTGATTCCCTCTTTTATCCTGGTTCAGCTGTCTTCCTTCAACGTTCATCCTTTCTGTGTCTATTCTTGAAGCTGCATGTGTAGTTTGCCTCCACCCCACTCTCATTATTCACTCCATTACGTTGGTCTACCAACACTTACAGTGGTATTTCATAGTATCCATCTATGTGTCTTCTACCTTCTATGTAGGCCTGTCTACAGGAGGTAAACCTGTGTCTATCTTCTATATGTCTACCTTCCATCTGTGTCTGCCTTACGTCTGTGTCTACAGTCCCTCTCTGTCTTCCTTCCCTCTGTGTTTTCCTTCCATCTTTCTCGTATTTCACTCTGTATTTATCCACTTCGGCAAATTCTCCTGGTATTTTTGTACGTTGTAATCACATCTCTCCAAGGTCCTTCTCCTTCAGGGTCACGAGGTTCTGTTCCTCACTTTCTTCCCACATTGTATTCCTCTCAGCTCTGAGACTAGTTTTGTTGCATTCCTTTGGATTTTTTACGAGTTTGATTGTACTTGATGGGCGGGGGCTCCATGCTGGTGCTGCGTACTCGACGCTGCTAGACATGGCATACATAGTCTATAATATACTAAAAGATTCTTAAGGTTCTTGAATGCTATTGAGATCTCTGTTATTCTGTGTAATAAAATTTGAGGAATCACAAGTGAAGCATGTGTGAGGTGAAGCATGTGTGAGGTGAAGAATATGTAAATTATAAGACGGAATGGGTGACTTGAGTAAGAATGGGTGGGTGAGTGACTGTACTAGATCACTGTCGTTAAGGTTTACCCTCAGTCTAGTGTACAGTCTGAACTGGAATCAACATAGGAACTACCAGAGCACTGTCTGACTGCAGGAAGTGTTCAGAGTTTGCACTGCTGGCACTCTAAGTTTTGGCAGTGGTGGTATTTTATTCGCCAGGAAAAAGGACGTGTTTCCTCACACGGATCTTGTCATACGATGACCCGCTAACTGGAGTTTTTGGTCATGTGAGCGAGACCTTCAGCTGGCTTACCGGGTCCACCAGGTCAGACCACGTCATATGATCTGAAACATGAGGAAGATTAGAGGATCTTAAAATGCAAGTCCCTTGTACCCTTAACGAGAAAGATGGAAGGATTTACGAGCAAACAGTAATGGAGGACAAATATGGTATTCTTGATCAAAGTGAACTACGCTGTAGTAACCGTTGTAATATATTTTGTCATCCCGAGTGAGCGTAGCCTGGTGAAAACGGATTGTGCTCACTGGTATCCCATTTGCTCATACACTGTGATAGTCACGTTGTATCTCACCTCCGTTACAGTCGACACTGAGCATGATAGACCTGGAACGTGTGTGTGTGTGTGTGTGTGTGTGTGTGTGTGTGTGTGTGTGTGTGTGTGTGTGTGTGTGTGTGTGTGTGTGTGTGTGTGTGGAGGTCTCTGGTACCTTCACCACACTCAGCTTCTAGAGGCAATGACGATGACTTAAGATCATAGAGAAGATCGTAGTGCTCACTGAATAGTTGTCTCTACTCAGTAGAGATCATACCAATGCCTACGATGCAAGGTGCATCAGGGGTAAGGTAACTTCTACAGTCACACACACAGTCGTGGTGACTGGGGACGGATCAAGCAACACCTGCCAAGTGATGTTGATCTGCACCTCAGCCTACTGCCTCCATTAGCCAGGATATCAAGTGTTCCTGTAAGAAACAGATACTAGGAGGTGCAGCTACACGCGCCGCGTTCTGAACTGCTCGGTATTATATGCTTTAGCTCGATATTGAAGCTCAGGCCAGTTGCACAGAGGCCTGACGGCCGTCTGGAAAGCATAGCAATAATTGTTGATGTACAGGAACGTCTAAATTTTTTACCAAATTTGATTTAAAATTCGTTGCTCTTACTTTTATACTGGAAAAGGTCATCGATGAAGAACTTGGCGGCCATCTTGAAACAAAATGGCCGACACCTTGAAATTTCAAATTGTGTATCGGCTGGAATTTAAAACTATTTTCTAGCATTTTTAGGAAGTTTTTATTTTTTTCTCTCCATATTACACATGGTTAAAAATGCCTTGATTTAGACTAGTGCTTAATCTAATTGCTTTTAATAAAAAAATGCTTCCTTTTCAAAGTTAGACGCATGTGAGCATATATATGAAGAGTGTCAGGTCTGTATGAGTGTTTGAAATGTTTATCTCGCGCACTGGTGACCAGAGTGAGTCATGTCGGCTCTTACGACAGAAACAAACGAGGCTTCAATTACTCAATGTGAGGTGCAGATAAAAGCATTTTTGTGTGTTTCTCTCTGGCTTGGATGACGCGGCTGATGATACTGTCGATAGACGTGGCTGACGATACTGCTTATAGACGTGACTGACGATACTGCTTATAGATGTGGCTGACGATACTGCTTATAGATGTGGCTGACGATACTGCTTATAGACGTGGCTGACGATACTGCTTATAGACGTGGCTGACGATACTGCTTATAGACGTGGCTGACGATACTGCTTATAGATGTGGCTGACGATACTGCTTATAGATGTGGCTGACGATACTGCTTATAGACGTGACTGACGATACTGCTTATAGATGTGGCTGACGATACTGCTTATAGATGTGGCTGACGATACTGCTTATAGATGTGGCTGACGATACTGCTTATAGACGTGACTGACGATACTGCTTATAGATGTGGCTGACGATACTGCTTATAGATGTGGCTGACGATACTGCTTATAGACGTGACTGACGATACTGTTATAGACGGGCGACGATACTGCTTATAATGGGGCGACGAACTGCTTATAGAGGGTGACGAGAACTTTATAGACTGGCTCGTACTGTTTATAGATGTGGCTGACGATACTGCTTAAGATGTGGCTACAACGCTTATAGATGTGGCGACGATACGCTTATAGCGGGCTGACGATACTGCTTAAAAAATTGCTGCGATACTGCTTAAAAACGTATGACGATACTGCTTAAGACGGACTGACGAACTGCTTATAGACGGACTGCGATACTGCTTATAACGGATGACGATACTGTTTATAGACGTGACGAACGATATGCTATAGACAGACTACGATGCTGCAGTCCGCTCTCTGCGTTTCTATTTACAAAAATTTTTCCCCTTTAGAAGCTTTCCTGATGACTTGCTAATTTTTGAAAAATGCGATTGATACGTGCTTTCAAATTTAATAGCACGTGAAAAACCTCATAAACCCGCTTTAAATTTTTTTATCATTTTTTCGTTTTCGTAAAAAAAAAGGCAGATATAGAGTACTGGACGGGGAAACTCATGAAACCCCATAAGCTTTGTCTGCAGGATTTTCCTCTTGGAAATCCCTGTGGTTGCTCTGGTTTCCACCCTGTTAGTGAAAGTAGGGCTTTTTATATTTTGCTTTTCTTAGTAACGGGGATGGAACACTGTGGACAAAAAGGGGCCTCCGTCCAAAGGGAGCGGGCAAACCACTCAACCG